AACCTCTTCCAGTTTAAAACAGTCATCATTATGAAATCTTGTAAAAGTCCCTGTCCAACTTTCCTCTAAGTAATCTTCAGGTACTGGAAGGCTGTTTTAAGGCCTCTCTGGAGCCTTCTTGCCCAGGCTGAACAGTCCCAACTCTCAGCCTGTTTTCACAGGAGAGGTACTCCAGCCCTCTGATCGTCTTCGTGGTCCTCTTCTGGATTTGCTCTGACAGCTCCATGTCATTATGTTAGGGGCCCCAGAACTGGACACTATACTCCAGGTAGAGTCTCATAAGAGCAGAGGGCATGAATTGCCTCTGTCGACCTTGAAGCAAATGCTGGCTCAGTTCCCAGAGTAGTGTTGACATAGGCAGTTGGGTATAACGGTAAAACTCTGAAGGTAGACAAAGTGGGGGTTCTACAAGCAAGTAGTTTTTGTTTTTTTTTAATGGATCCGTATTCTTCATTCTTGAGATAGTCAAACTCTTCAAGCTATACATGATAGGAGTGCAAAGCAAAGTCCTGTCGTGTATACTATGGACATGGCTGCAGTGACATCAGTCTGTGGTCATGATCACTCTCAAATCAGTCTCGCCCTGCCAGGAATAAAAAGTCATCCAGCAGAGGTCAGTGGTGCACTGCTGTACCGACAAACCCTTCACGTTTGTGCTTTAACGTAAGATAAATACCGGGGGAAGCTCTCTTCCTTTGCCACTAAAGTGAGGGCAATCTAATAGTCCAGGAGACTATTAAGAAGTTTTAGCATTTGGAATACTTAAAATCAATTTGTGGAACAAACCAGCCAGAATGTCAATAAATATATTGGTGAAGGGAGGGCAAAAAGTATTACCTGGGAGGGAAGGCCAAAATTCAAGTAATGCACAAATTGTATTTCCTATTCCATGCTTTAAATAACTATACTAATTTAAATAAATAGCTAGCTTGAAGACTCGTGATGTTAACAGTAAATTTTTTGTCTAGAAGGAAAAATCATTGCAGCCTTAAGTACCTGAAGGAAGCCTAGAGGAAAGCTGGGGAGGGACTTGTTACAAGGGCTTGTAGTGAGAGGACAAGGGGTAATGGTTTAAACGGAAAGAAGAGAGATTTAGGTTAGAGATCAGGAGGAAATTCTTTAGTGTGATGGTAGTGAGACACTGGAACAGGCTGGCCAGAAAAGTTGTGGAAGCTCCATCTCTGGAAGCATTCCAGGCCAGGTTGGGTGGGGCTCTGAGCAGCCTGATGTGGGAGGTATCCCTGTGCATGCAGGGGGATTGCAACTTGATGATATTTAAGGTCCCTTCCAACTCTAACCATTCAATGAAGATGGTGATTTTGCAAGTTAATTAAGAAATTGTGTTCTTGGTGCACAGTGTAGTGTGGAATGGCTTATGACAGAAAAGCAGAAATGATAGGATGGTTATCACTGTCAGAGAAGGAAATGTATGGAGCAGGGTACAGGAGCTATGAACTTCTGTAAAAACTTGTGGAAGAAAAGTAAGTCAGATCTCCTAGTCTGTCACTAGCCTTTTTGAATGCCTTAGTTGCCAGTCATAGCGTGGAGTTTCAGAGAGCTAGGGAGGATAAGACTAGTGTCATACTGCATAGAAAGTTAACAGCAACTTAATCCTGTTCTTCAAAGAAATAAATAATTCTCATGTGGTCTGTTGAAACTTAAATTTTCGTTTTGCTTTTTAAAAGCAGTATACAGCCTACAAGCAGGAGGAGGATGCTGGATTTAGGCAAATGCACTTTTGAAATTAACTTTTGCTGAATAGATAATTAAGACCTTTTAAGTTAGAGGAAACAGCCTCAAGTTGTACCCAGGGTTTAGATTGGGTATTAGGAAAAACTTCTTAATTGAGAGGGTGTCAAGCACTGGAAAGGCTGCCCAGTTAAGTGGTTGAGTCACCATGCCTGGAGTTATTTGAAAGATGTGTATATGTGGCACTTAGAGGCATGGTTTTGTGGTGGACTTGGCATTGTTGGATTAACAGTTTGCCTTCATCATCTTAATGGTCTTTTCCAACTTAAATGGTTCTATAATTGGTTCCTTTCCATCTCATTTCACAAAGTGTGAAGGAGTCAGAAGTTTGAAAGCTTTACAGATGAAGCACTGGCATCTTTAAAATGCTGGAAGCTTTAAATCTTGGATGGAACTCCTGCCTAGCAAGATGTGGTGTAACCTGGCAGCTTGAAAAATGGAGCCGAAGCTTCCTGTTTCCTATTCCTGACCACACAGTTTGCTGAAAGACAGAAGTCTGTGTGTTCCAGCTGTCCATTTGCTGTGTTGTTAAGAAACCAAATCGGGAACAAATCCAGAAACTTGATGAATTTCCTGCTTATTTTTGTGATGCTGCCTGGAGGGGGGTGTGTTTGAGCACAATTTCTACCCCCCAAACACCCCCCACTCTTTTTTTTTTTCTTTTTTTTTTTTTTTTTTTTTTTTTTCCCCCCTCTCTTGAAGGTCTTTTCAACAAAACTTAATAGAAAAGAGTTTCTGACTAGTTTAGCTTTGGGTAGGAAAGCTCCGAGTTTTTTAGCCTAAATCCATATTTGAGAAAAGAGGCAGAAAGCTATTAATGGAACTCTTTTCATCACTTTTGGATTGCATAAACTGGTAGGAATACTAATTTTGGTGGCAAATCTAATGAGCTCCAGGGAAGGAAAAAGGAAAGACCTGAGAAGTGTCTAAAAAGTGTATGACTCTTGGCTTCATTTTCCAGCTAAGAATGAATTGAACCTTTTCAAAGCTCTTGTGTAATATAAACAGGATGCAGTGCCTAGCTGTTTACCCAGGCATGCTCTGCCTCAGAGTAAAAAATAATTTTTTTTGTCAGAGCTGATCATAGACAGAGGAAGTGTTAAGACTTGCAGTACAGAAATTATTTTGAGTTAATTGTTGAAGCAGTTCATTGAAGAGGCAAAGTTAATGCTTCTAGGAGTTGACTCTGTGTATGCATGCATGTGGTCTTTTTGTTGTTGGACTTCACATTTTGAAATATGGGTGCATATTCTGGTTTAAAATGTGCACTGTCACCTTTACCTGCTTCAGAGAGAGCTTCTGACATCTTACCTACTCCCAAGTTGTTGAAAATACTTCATATTTGTACTAAGTCCATGGTCATATGAAGGTAATTTATTTCTTGTGATTATTGTGTTAAACCTGGAGCAGAACTGCTCTATGCATTTTTGACTACTGCTAAGTGGCTACTGAGTGCTCCTTACCTTAATTTTTAGTGGGGTTGCTCTCAGGATAAAGTATTGTTGTTCTGGATTGATGTCAGAAAGTTAGAAGGTTGTTTTGTTTGCTGGGAAACAAACATTCCCTATTCTGCTACTTTGAGTGAAAGAAAGGACGTCGAAGCAGCTTGTAGAGCAGCAATTGTTTATGACCTCTCAAGAATGCTACAAGTGGTAGAGCCTCTATTTGCTGTAGTTTCTTGGACACTACACAACTGCATGGATGTTGAAGTAAAATTCTTATTTAGTTAATGGTAGATTTACTGAGCCGGTTCAAGCTAAAGATCTGAGGGCCTAGTGAATCTCTGCCGAGATTTGACTTCTGTCTAGTTAAGTAGGAACTGGATTGTCTTTAAATAAATCGTTGCAGACTTTCATATTTGGTGACTTTAGAATACTGTGCTACTTTCTTTTGTGGAGGAAAAATACATATTACCATTATAAGATAAGATGGATTGCATACTTGAATACCTAAGAAAACCCCAGACAAATGGACCTGAAAAGCTAGTTTTTCCTTCTCAAAAAGAGAGCTGAAGATGATTCTCAGATGTGCATGCTGACAGCATAGGTGAGATGAATCCCATGTTTTTTGTTTAGGAAAATCTGGAAGAGGAAGCTTAATGATTTTCTTTGTTCTGTGGACTCAATACTTGTTGACCAGGTAGAGCTCTAAATAAAAGGATGGTTTCACAAAATGTGGCTGTATTATTACACATTGCTCAGCATGTTGTCTGAAAGAAATAGAGAGAAGTAGGCAATAGAATCTACATCTGTTTCCCTTTTCAATTAATTTAAAATGCTGTACAACTTCTCTTTTTGTTACAGCTTTTCCACCCTCCAACTGGGTAGCAGCTGCAATTTATTGTTGTGTAAAAATGCATCCAAAAAGTAAGCCAAAGCTTCAGAACTAGATTGGTGGGGAGAAGAGAGGATTTTAATGCTTTTTTTCCCTGTTGCTAATCATTAGCTCAGTTTCCTTCTCTCATAAGGGTGAGCAGTTTTTGCCAAGCAATAACCAAAGGCTCAGAGGAGTTCTGACTTGAGGTAACTAACATATTTAACTGTGGTACTAACTACATTAAATAGCTTTAGGTTGATTATGATCAGATAGTTTAATCTCATTTAATTTCTGTGGAAATTGCTGCTCTTAAGTGACTTTTAAAAGTTTTGAAAATGGCTTGCTTGCTCTGGACATTTGAGGAGTTTGAATTGCAGAGACTTCTGAGAAGGTGGCATGTCCAGCCCCAGCAATGGTGTGTACTTGAACAAGCTCTGGCAACTCAGTGTGGTAACTACTTTAAATTTTTGACACTTGCTCTGTAGTCATTCATTACCTGTGTAGTGGTACAGGGTTTTTTAGGAAGGACTCCTGGCTGTATGGAGTATTTTTATTAGTTTTCATACAGTTAAACCATGTTGCACCTCGTAACAAGAATTACTGGTTGTTAAAGCAGAGTAAGTATATTAAAAGGACCTCTCTTCCCATTAAATATGAGTAGAAAAACTCGTATTGATCCTGCACCAGTGAAAGCAGGTTTGAGGTGGTGAAGAGCTTGCATCTAGATCTTAGAGCTGTGCCTGAAGAGAAGGAAAAAATCTTGTAAGATGGGAGCAGAGAGAAATTCCTGAAATTAACCTTTATATTTTTGAGGATGAATATGTGCAGCGGCATCACAAATAGCATAGTACTGCTGGTTTGTTAAGAAGCTTTTTAAGAATTAGTCATGGCTTAACAATTATAAAGTACTTATGTGTATATGTTATTTCTGTCAGCAAACAAATGAAAGAGCTGGAGGAGACAGGATTCCTGAAAGGAGATTTGAGTGCTGAGCAGCAGATCTCTCTCATTAGCATCTGTACGGACCTGAAGGCAGCAGTAGAGGGTGCTACTTTCATTCAGGTAAGCAAAGATTTGACAATTCTTAGCAAACAGATGATAAAGATTATCAAGAACTGTGCTGTGCAGTGAATTGGCAATGGAGGGTTCAGCATCCTGACCACATTAATTATGCTTATTAAAATTAAAGTTCTTTCTAGCCTAGTTTCTTGACATAAAAAATGATGCCTTTTGCAGGATTTTTCCACCTGAAAGTCCTTGCAAGTTTCTTTTGTCCAATGCTGGAAAAGGCTGGTGGCTTGCTAAGCTAAGAGAGAATTGCTGGCCTCCATTTGTAACTATGACTGTACTTCTTAGAAATACAAAGGCAGGGGAGGTTGGGAGGCAGGAGATTCTTAGGGAGATACTATATTTTAGAGAACACCACACATTCTAGTGTTGGGACTAAAACGTCCTTCTTCCTCTCCAGGTACTCTGGAAAGGCAGGAAGCATGGCTGTGCTGGGGGGTGACTTCTGTTCTAACTGTGGGGAACCATTGTAGCCAAAAGCACCTATCTGACCAAGCGGTAGCGTTAAAAACATGGTTGATATATAGGGCTGGAGTCTGTGCTGCTAAGTTAAACTGGGGTGGGGAACAAATTATGCTACTGGACCTAATAGTCTGTGGCAGCTTAACAGTTAGTATGTATCCTGGCCTGGCATAGTTCAGGGAATAGGTGAATCAGGGACCGTTTCGGGGAGAAAGTGTGAATGAATGAATTTGCGTTGGACTCAGCATCTTCTACCTACGTGGTTCCCCAGTATTATTCCAGTATTGTACCATTAACTGTGTCTACATGCCTGTTGTATCCAAGAGTTTGCAATTTATATGTTTAAGGCAGTAAATACTACAGTCTGCTTAACTGCAACACATCCCTACTAATAATAAACGGAATTAAAAGGATATGGATTTCTAGACTTTTTCTTCCTCCCAAGTTGGTGAAATGGAGGGGAGAGAATAAGAGGCAGAGCAAAGCCTCACCCAGGAGTTAAGGTGTGAATGCGCTATAAGTTTTTACAGGGGGACACTATTTTGTTTTCACTTACTTTTCTGCAGATCATGAAACTACATTTTGTTACCCCAGTATCTTACCCCTTTACTAGTATTGTGCTCAGAGCTTGTAAGTTCATATTACTGTCTTCACATATATATTGCTTACCTCTAACTAGTTAAGTCTGCAAATGTGTCCTGTAGTCACTCGATCCTGTGAAGTCCTTCCACAAATGTTTGCGGTTGAGATGATGATGATGACTGACTTAGTTGATGACTGGTCATCTATGAATGGATATAACAAAAGGGCAGAAATACCTGTGAAACAGTACTGATCAGCATCTTCCACTGAGTAAGGACTGACTGTTCCTCCTACTGTCTGTTTCCTCTCTTTTTGCCTGTGAATCAGGACTTAGCTGTGGAAAAGTTGCTTTGATTCTTCTTTATGTAATATTCATTCAATGCTACCCTTATCTCTTAACTTGCTTGATAGAGACATAATACTTACAGCTCTTTGTTGAGGTCTTTCCTGAAGTTTCCTTAAAAGTTGCGTCATGCATGCTACTCTTCTGCTCTTTGGTACCAAAATAGTGTTCATTCAGTTTTGTTTCAAGTGGAGCAGTTGTTTATCACTCTTACTGTGTTGGATATTCAAACCACCCAGTACCTTAGTTCTGGTTCCTCTCTCATGTGTTCTATGACTTGAGACAGAGACTGGGAGTCCTCAAGATTAGGGCTTCAGATTTCTGCAAGGATTAGAAGGCAGAACAGAATAGTTGCAAAGAAATCACTGTTCTGTGCTTGTGCACCAGGTGGTCATCCTTCCAGACTCTCATAAGCTACCTTGTTCTCCATACATTTTGAAGAAATAAGGGAATTAAAAAAAAATATATTCCTCTTGCTTTCTGGTATTATTTTATATTCCCTTACCCCTTTTGATGTCTCTTAACATGTAGTCATTAAGCATAAAAATAATTCAAGAAGCAGTTGCAATATGCCTGTAGGTAACAAATGTTATTTCTGAAACACTGTTGTTGCAGTCATATCAGCTGATCAGTTTCAAACCACAGCATCACAATTTGGTTTGAACATATAAGTGGGCAAATTATTTGAGCTAGTCCTTAATTTGCCCTTGGAAGGGGGATTAGAATAAAATAATCTCAATTCTAGGCTCACAGCCCTATTTCAGCAGTTGTCACTGTTTGACTTAGGTTTGACAACAATGCTCTCGATCCTCTCCCCACCCAGGTAGGGAAGGAGAGAGAGAAAAAGAGAGAGACTTGGCTGGATTGAAAACTAACCTACACAGCTTTAATTAAGCACTAATGCTAAACGAGAAAATGTTCAATTATATACAAACGTGTTCAGGGATGTGCAAAAGCCCCCCCCACCCCCAGCAACTCCCACAGCGTCTCCTGAGCTGCCAACAGCCCCAACAAGTCCCGGAGCTGCTGGAGAGAACGCAGAGTGATGAGGGTCAGGAGAGCTTGAGCCTGGGGGTCGGTGGTGATGGCTGGTCGGAGTCCTCCCTGGACACCCACCATGGACAGAAGAGAAGGGAAGAAGAAGCAGGAAGGAAGTTGTCTTCTGTGATCTCTGACCTTCCTCTGAGCTTACGTAGATATATGGAATGGAATATCTCTGGTCAATTTTGCTGTCTGTCTAACTTAGCCTTCTAGTGGGGGGGTCATAGATCTCCCCGTAGTGTCTGAACCAGCAGAGTAAAGATGCGACCTTGAAGACCCAGCAGTTAGAAAAACATTCCATTGTTACCAGCCTTAGTTAGAACACACTGTGACTAGTTAAAAGAATACTTGCTGAGGAAGAAAAAAAAATCAGTAGAAGGAAAATTGGCTTCATCTTGACTCAAACCAGAACAGCAGTGAACAGCCTACTTTCTGTCTGAACTATATTAAACTTCAGAAATACTGCCTAGAGCAGCTTTGGACGTGGAAGGAGAAAATGGACTTATTGTAACTCGTGAGTGCAAGTGTTCTGACTTCTAGTTTTTTAAAAAACAAAATACCAGTTGCATTAATGTTAGGTAAAATAGACGACACTGTTTTCTTGCTTAATGAGATAACCTACTGATTAACTTGTTAGAAGGCTTTCATGAGAACTGCGTTTCTTTACTACAGGGTTCAGTTGGTTAAATCTTAACAGCTTCTCAAGTTTGGTCTTTGTAGAGCCAAGCTTTAAAAATTTCCTTGATCTTTGCACTCCTTGAATAAATTCTGCAGACAGTTGCCTTTTATGTTGTTTTCATGGGACATAACTTAAACCAGATAGGATGAAGTAATAAAAAGTGGAACTTCTAGAATTACATCAGTGAAGATATAAAAGTGAAAAATATGCAAGAAATAATTAGAAGGACTGAGTAAGAAGAAAATGCATAACAATAATGTCAAGAACCTTTAAAAACAAGATATGCCTTGATGCATATTATTTCCCCTCCTCAGTGTTTTGATTAAGTAACTTGGCTTTATTGGTGTGCTTTGCCTCAACTTCAGAAAGAAACCAGTTGTACTGGTTTTTTTGCTCTAAAACAGAATATTCACGCACTTTCACTTCTCAGAAGTTTTGCATACTTCTTAGAGTAAGTGCATAACCTACAGCAGTTAGGTAAATGTGCACTGCAAGCTTCTTTCATCACTAAAAGCTTTAATTCTGAAATAAGTTTTCCATTAGCTGCCAACTGCATGGAGACAAATTAAGGGATATATTTGTACTGTAATATCCCTGATATGGGACTATCATGGACAAGGCAAATATTTCTTAATGTTGCCCTCTTTCTTGCATAAGTATGACTTCTGTCTGTTGTCATGGAACAAAGCAGACTGGCAAGGGGATGAAATTAAGGTTGTAGCTTGTACTTTGTGGTCTGGGGATTTATATGCTTTTGTTTTAAAGGAGCTCTACCTAAAAGCTTTTAAAAGGTTTCTCCCTCTCCTTTAAAAAGAGAGGGTATGTTCCTAGTGTCCTGTCCCATCTTTCCCTGCAAAATCTTTTGAACTGGTAATAATGACACTAAAAGATTTACAGCCTGGTCTCTTTTAAATGTTGCTGGCTCTTTTCTCTCTCCTGGTTAGATATCCTGGCAGATAGCAATGGTTGAAGATGTCTTCAGATGTCCTGAGCTCATAGGATAGGTGACCATTCAGGTTTGGAAGCTGTGTTAATGATGTACCTCTGTAAATAAAAAGCTGGGAGGTAGAGTGTGAAAACATAGCAGTAACCTGGCTTCCTCTGGACTGGTCACTGGTCAGCTCTGAGCACTGGACAAACAAACATGAGTCTCGTTGTTCTCAGCTGGGTAAATAGAACCCTTGGCCTGGTGTTGCCCTACTTATCTTAAACACTGACATGAGCCACCAGAAGTTATGTTTTGGCTTCTGAGGGAGCTGATTTTAAGCATGTGACCTGACTTGCTGTCTTTGCAGAAGTTTTGAGAAAACTTTTCCTGATCTCAAAGACATTCTGTAAAATTCTTTATCAAGTCAGTTTTAGAGATGAGCTGAAAGATGATGTTTGAGTAAACAGCTTGTCAGTGTCACTCATATAGTGTTGCTGCTGAATGGACATTTGTCCTTCCAAACTTTCTAACATTCACTCCCCATCTCTCCTGAGCTTGTAACAATGGGTGTTATCTACCATTACAGACTTGAATATAGTTTTGGTCCCTGTTACAGGAGGTAGTCGTTGCTATAACTGTCATCCTGCCCAGTAGTTAATCTTGCTCTTCAGATTCCTTTTCAGTGCTCCCTGGCCTCCTTTCTAGGGCTGTATTGTATTTCTGCTGCCTTTCCTAGATCACTTCCCATATTTTTCAGGGTGGATGGGATCATAGTAGAAGAAAACAGAAGATCTAATACTTTGAGAAAGGATGTAGGAAGGAGGATGTTGACCAACCTGTGTGAGATCTTACTGCTCTTCCTGAAGGGAAAAAAAAGAATCTTCATCTCTTCTGTAGCAGCCTGATCAGCTTGTTTGTCTGTCCTTTGCAACTTTTGTAGGACACATGAACATAATGGA